GCAACACCAACAATCAACCCAGTCCTATTCTCTTTTGCTGTATGTGCAACAATCCAACTTATATTCGGTGTGAAATCTGATAGATAGGTTTTAGGCATTAGCAGTAGCAAACAGAGATAGACATGACTTAAGATTTTGAACAAAATTCTTATGCCATCTCATTTCTTACTAGGTACCACATTGATTGCTGAAATGGACGGTCCATAGTAACCTGCCTCTGGTATGCCCCTTGTTCCCTTACCAGCCCAGAATAGGTGAATTTCAAGATGGTTCTCTGTCACAGTAGCATTGAAATTCTTAGTGATTGCTCTGTCAACCCCACCTGCCTCTTTTGATATGTCAAAATCCTTCAATATGATGGTTCCCTGGGAACAGTTGATTATGATTAAAATCTGAAAATGTAAAACTTAAGTTTGCAAATTCATAATTTTAGAAACATTTGTTACATTGAGGACTTGAATAAAATGATCCATAAATGCAATCACGAAAATGGTTTACCATTTTGATAGAAAATTTACCTGAATATAAATATCAAAAACTCGCCTTCCCAGACTCTCCCAAGTTTGTGTGCTTCGATCTTTGAAAGCTGTTTCTGCAAAAAGCAAGTTAACTGTATAAGGTCCATTCTCTAGGCCTAAGCCATGGTATCTGAGTGATCCAGGTGATATCCTCGAGGTCTTAAAAAGATCTGGTGAGTCGGTGTATATCACTTCTTGCAAGGCAGTCTGCACATAGATTTGATTACTTCTGTCAGAAAACAAACCCACATTGCTGACTGCCCATTTCTCAGTAATGGCTACATTAAATGATGCTGCACCAAGAGAAGAGTCTTCAGCCTCATATTTTATCCCATCAGCAGTCATCTCTGGACCGCCACACTTGATTGAGAAGTTTGCATCTGCCAACATGAAAATCTTAATATGCTTGGCAAGTTACTCAAGAACAATAATTAAAATTCCAGCAACAGAACTTCATACCCAGTAGGTTACTGAAGCCATCATTTATAACAGATTAAAAACAAGTAAATTTTGACTCCTTTCAAGTTCTAGCAGGACAAACTTAATGTCTCTTTACAATTGCCATTGATGCATGCATATTTCAATTGGTCAAGCTCAGAATTATTGATACTAGGAAAGTAGGAATGGATAATTTGTCATTGATGAGTCCAAGAACACTCTAAAATACAATTGTCCATGCCTTTTCCCCACTACATGAAGTTTCTTTCTGTGATTACAGTTTAATGCCAAGTATAAGCTATCTCAAGGCAATGCAGCAAAAGAAGTTTACAGCGTGGAGAGTTCCTGCTGCATGGGAAGCTTCTTTGAAGGCAGTGCAATCCTGGTATAAGACTGAAAATAAATAAAATAGTTGTTTCTTATTAGTGTTATAAATTATAAAAGAATGCCTTCCATTGTGGAAAAAAATGCAACCAATTTTCTTATTCCTTTAGATTAAGGTTGATTGAAGAGTAAAACTAAAACAGATACTTAAGAACTACAACTCACCTTTTGTTTGAACTGTCAAATGTGAAGTTGTTGGCTGCTAGATTCCTACATGATACAAAGCAACAACACAAATGAACATCTGTCATAGTAATTGTAACAATCTGACATTCATGAAATTAAAGTGACAGATACTCGTTCTAGAAATGATATACATGGGTGAGTAGTACATTACTATCACGGTTCTTGATAACCAAAAAGACTTCCAAAGGACTTTTAGTTGAGTATTGGAATTTAGGTCATCAGCACAAGTTAGGTACCAAAATAAGAATAAAACTAGGTCACCGGCTCTGACAAGGATTTAATGGAGAAGGTCGGAGTAGATCTTGAACTTTTTTCTTTCATTCATATTGCATTAATAATGTGACATCAATTAAAAGAAAAATAAGCTCAAGCTACATACAGTTGTAAAATTGTATTCACCCATGAGGGAAAGCTTCCAGACAGAAAATTGTAAGATAAATCTCTGCATGAGAAAGTAGTCAAAGTATAATAGCAGAAAGTTAGCAGAAGTTATTGATTCAAATAAAGAGAATGCCCAGAATGGTATGGCTTACATATTCATTAGGTCTGCACTCTTTTGGTTAGGGATG